AGCCCTGAGATAACCCTAAAATCACCCAGGGCTGGGGAGGAGCTCCAGGCTGAGCTGGGGGCCCCAAAGCCCCCCTGCCCGCACAGCTGAGGCTGTGGCACTGAGGGGACACGTGGCACTGAGGGGACACGTGTCCCCTCCTGGGCTCCCCACAGCAGCAGGGGCTCCCTCCTCCCCCAGCAGCAGCCTGCAGTGAGCCTTGGCTGGGGCTGCACCCCCTTCTCTTCTCCCCCCTTCTGGAAACAAAGCAGCCAAAGCATCCCCGGCTCAGGGGCCAAGAGCTCCACGAGCAGCAGAGCTGTGCTCCTGCTGGGAGCAGCCCCCATCTGCTGTGTGGGAGTCCCAGCAGTCACAACTGCAGCCCCTGTCCTCGGCTGACTCTTCCTGCTGGGAGGAAACAGAGACACACGGAGCAGAAGTGCTCAGAGCCCCTGGCAGCACGGCAGATCAGAAACCAGCAGCAGCCGGGCTCACCCTGCACTCACAGCTCCCAGGTGAGCAAATCCCACCTGGAGTGTGACTGAGGGGTCTCCTCAATCTTCTCCCCCACAACCCCCTCTCCTAAGAGCCCTGGGATCACTCCCAGCTCCCTGCACAGGAGGATTTGTTAATCCTGGTGGGCCTCCCCAGCCCCACGGGAGGCAGTGCTGCTCTGACAGGTAACACAGGGTGGGATTGCACCTGGCTCGGGGCTCTCTCCAGCAGAGGATGGAAGTGTTACCGAATCCTCTTCTCTTCCTTTTGCTTGTTTCCAGCCTGTCAATCCACAGAAGCCAAGGAAAAGCTCAGAGCTGGCCCTGCTCTGGCTCTTTCAGGGAGCAGAGCTCACAGAACGGCCACTGACAGCAGCCAGTAATTAATGCAAAATCATTTCCTCAAATGCTCCTTGCAGCAGCAGTGCTGGATGGATGGATGGATGGAGGAGCTGGAGCTCTGCACCCAGAGCTGCTCTTGCTGCATCCCCAGTGTAACCTAACCCTGCCAGGACCCAGGCACGGCACAGAGGATGCTAATTACAGGTTTCAAGCAATCTGAATTTATAATTGGCTGAGATTTCACTTGGCAGATAAGGCACTGCTGTCCTGGGCACTCGCTGTATCTAGGTCAGGCCATTAGTTTTGCTCTTCATCTACACACAGTTTTAATTTCATCTTTAATGTCGACTTCCAGCCGGTGAGCTGAGCCTGCAGACGACTTTTGTCACTGGCTGTGCTCACCTGTGCACCCCTGCTGAGCCCACAGAGAGGGAAACGAGCAGGGACCTGGTGATGGAGCCAGGCTGCTCCCAGCCCTGCTCCCACAGCAGGAGTGTCAGCACTGCCTGCTGGACTGGGACCTGAGAGCCAGGGAATGGCACCTGCAGCTGGGAACCCTGGGCATGAACCTGCCCAGGGAAAACCAGAATGTCAGCACATCCATCCCTGCCTTCATCCACCCCTGCCATCATCATCCCTGCCTTCATCACCCCTGCCATCATCACCCCTGCCTTCATCCATCCCTGCCTTCATCCACCCCTGCCATCATCATCCCTGCCTTCATCCACCCCTGCCTTCATCACCCCTGCCTTCATCCACCCCTGCCATCATCACCCCTGCCTTCATCCACCCCTGCCTTCATCCATCCCTGCCTTCATCCACCCCTGCCTTCATCCACCCCTGCCATCATCACCCCTGCCTTCATCCATCCCTGCCTTCATCCACTCCTGCCTTCATCACCCCTGCCTTCATCCACCCCTGCCTTCATCCACCCCTGCCATCATCACCCCTGCCATCATCACCCCTGCCATCATCACCCCTGCCATCATCACCCCTGCCTTCATCCATCCCTGCCATCATCACCCCTGCCATCATCA